TAAATATGACCCGGGTAGAAACCTCTCTGCTAAATCTCCCCAAACTTTTCGGAGACCTAGATCGTGGCGCCACCGGCTCTCTGGACGCCCGGCTCCTTCTTCCCAGCGCAACCCGCACGCGCCAGAAGCGCTCGCCTGGGTTTCCAAGCCCCGCTCTGGGGCGCCTGCCTAGCCTGGGCTCCTGTGTGCAGGCTGCGAAATTGCGCTGCCCTTCCCAGCTCCAAAGTCGGGCAGATGCAGGGCCCAGTGCTGGGTATCCTTGCCTGCGCCGCGGTTCTTTCTCCTGCCCCTGACCCGCAGCAGCGCCAGCCTGGACCCAGGCGCAGGAGCCAAGGCGCCACGCCGTGGAGGGAGTGGGCTCTGCAGGCGCGCTCGGTGGTTCACCTGCCCCTGCGGTGGCCGCTGTGCGCCGGCTCCAGTCCCACCCGGAGTAGGGCAGTCAGGGGACCCTCGGACAACCCCGAGCCGCCTCTGCTCCCCTCTCCGTGTCTCCCCATGTCAGTCCTAAAACTTGGTCTCCCAGGAACGGCCATCGCCTTGACTTCAAACGCCCAAATTAAACAGATTTGGGAAAGTTTCCGGATCGCTTTGCGCGCACTCCTTTCCATTTGGGGATGAATATAGAAAGGAAACGCCATCGCAGCGAGCTTGACACCTCTGGTAGGTATCCCACCCTTTGCAAAACAAATGTGACAAGTCCTGTTTCTAAGAAAAAAGGAAGCAAAAGAAAGTTGCGCTCTTACCACGTGCGCCAGCCCGCTCCGTCTGCTCTCCGGCCGGTCCCGCGGCCCCCGAGCTGACCACAGGCAAGACGACGCCCCGGAGGGCAGCCCGACTCTCATCTCCAGCCTGGGTAGGAAAGAAGAGGGGGGAGTCCAGTTATGCAAATAGAGATCTCGGCGGTGGGGCTCGGGTTACGGCCCCCCGCCGGCCCCAGAGGTGAAGCACCCACCGGCGGCAGGCGCAGGTCGGGACACTGCTTGGGCTTCGCTTGGGTCGGTGCACGTGGGCGGGCAGGCGGGCGGATCGCCGCAGCCGCCCCTCGCCAGGCGCTGTCACCAACACCGCCAGCTGCCACCGTGCGCCGCCCGGAGGGGGAGCTACCGGACGGCCAGAGCCGGCGCCTAGGGCCGGGCGAGGGCAGAGTTGGAGCACTGGAACCCGCACTCCACCACTACCACCCTGCGCGCAGAAGGAGGCCAGTGGGGGTGAGAGCAGGGAGGTGACCCCACTGAAGAGTCTGGAAAATGGGAGCGATAGACCCTCTGGCTTCGAAGTTTTCCAAGAATTACCACCCTTAAGAACTTCTCTGAATCAGCGAGAGCAAAGAGGTGCGGGGTTGGGGCAGGGACTAGCTGCAGCCAGCTGCCCCGGGGCATTGCAGGCTCCAGACTGTGCCTGGGGCTAGTCCCAAGAGGTCCTGCCTGAAACTCTCCGCGGGAAAACGGGTCTGTAATAACTTCCTGTCGCCTTTTCCTTTCTATTTTTTCTTTCCTTTCCTTTTTTCCTTCCTCTTTTAACAGTATCTCCTTAACTTCAGCCCCAACGGATAATTTAGAAGATAGGACAAAATCAAGGAGCACACCCTTGAAGCCACACGGATACAGTTCAGAAAGCTAAAACGACTTGCCTAAAGTCACACAGCTGGTGACTGGTCCAGTTACTGGTCCAGTTCACACTTGCTACCTGGTCTTCAGAATCCCTGTCCTTTGCGCTGGTCGCTACATCTCGCTCTCAGGAGAACTCGGTGCCACGAAGTGAACAGCTTTTCCAGGACTGAAAGCCTGGCTCGGCCCATTAGAGAAACCCGCCGCCCTGATCAATTTCATCTTGCTTTGGCTTTTCTCAGGAGAACGAAGCTGAGGTCAGGGGTGTGTAAAGGGAGGGAGGGGGGCTGTTAAAGACAGACCCCTGCAGGTAAGGGGAGGGTTTAAATGTGGGGACACTGCAGACCTGTGCAGTGGAAGGAATGAGCGCGTTGGCACATGCCCAGTATATTAATGTGCTAACACAAGAGAAGCCGGCCCCTCAGTATCCTTCCTCGAGGCAAGAAGAGAAGCAATGGGTGTGATCCTGTGCTGGGAGAGTTTGCTGGTGTGGGTGTGGGATACAAAGGTGACCTGGCCTCTACTCAGAGCATTTGAGCTTTTTATTTTTAATAAAAAATACTACAAATAAATGACTTTTTAAAAAAAAATAGATTTTTTAAATGTCCATGTAAACGAGACTCTCCAAAATATATACAAACTTTAGGGCAAATTGCTGCCAGATTCTAATCCACTTTGTCCGGATTCCAGACTACTCTGAAAGCCAAGTTTGAAGGAGCAGGGAAGCCCTTTAGAAGTATGCTTGCTCCTGAGTTGGGGATGAAGTGGTGGGGGATGGGGATGGGAGGCAGCTGGCAGGTCCTGGGGAGTCCCCTCTAGGCATGGTTTGGGGCTTTTTCCAGTCTTGCAGTTCCCATTCACAATGTGGTGACAGGATGACAGTCAGTCAGGGGGTATGTCACAAATAATTTGCCATGTGCATTTTGATGTGCTAAGAAACATGTTAGAACATCATCACAGACTCTACTTTCTGCAGTGTCATTTTCATAGAGTGGGAGAGCAAGGCGTGTTAGAATCTCCCTCAACTGTGGACACATGCAAATAGATCCTAACTCAAACAGCACAGGGCATGTTACCTTTGAAAAGCAGACCACTGCTAACTCTGTCCAATCATCTTAAAGGTCCTCTGTGTGCTGAGGAATCTGTTAAACAGTTCCCTACACTCAGTATTTCACTACAAACCTGGGACCCTAAGGAGCTACAGGCCTAGCTCAGGTCATGCCCAACACAGCTGTGAAACTAGAATAAAGTCATGTGTCACTGGCATTAGTAGGAACAGAAGACTCTAATGATCTTATTTTGTAGATGCAGCAGTGCTGGCCCATAGTGGATGGTCAGGGTCCCTTTAAATATTTCTTGAACAATTACTATGTTTCCAGTACTGCACTAAACCCTGGAGATGCAGTGGTGTCTACAACAGGTCTAGTTGCCAACCCTGGCATATCATGCAAATACATCATTGCAGTTACCATGTTTGATCTCAGTGAAACAAAGGATTCAATGAAGTCTTCATGGCTGAGGACCTAACTAAGCCCAGATGTGCAAGACATGTAAGGACTGGGGGTAGGGATCATTGTGAGAAGATCTAGGGCAAAAGAGCGGGGCTAGAATGCCCTCATGGTGGGAGAAGGCAAGGTGCATTGGTAGAATTAAGTCCAGTGTGAGTAGACACCTCGAGGTCAGTGTCTATGCCTGGTGCACTGGGGTTGAAGGTAGTCGGCGCAGGCAGCCCTCGTGAGAGCACTCTGGAAAGATTTTAACCTCTCCGATGCTCTTTTCTCTCTGCTGTCCTTTTTGGTTTTTGGGTTAATGACAAGAGCATTACAATTTTTACATCTGGGTTTTTGTTCTTACCACTCAGCTGCTGCAAATGAAGAACCTGCCAACAGGTTTCATCCAGGAGAAGATACAGAAATGCTTACTGACAGCAGCATTGTGTCTCAGTGACAGACCTAATGAAATACATTCCT